TGCTTCCTGAGGTTGAATAGCAAAGAAGCAGTTAGGATATACAAATGGGATTGACCTCAAGCCTTAGGCTGAAGCCACCCTCGTACCCTGTCCTTGAACTTGGGGAAGTTGATTTCACTCTGCCCTTTATGGAGCCCTATCATAAAGACTTCAATGCCTTGTCACATTAAGCTTGAGGTTGAGCTTCACCTAAATGCACTAGGTAAAGTTTGCCTCAAGGTTGTTTTGATGCTCCGTGAATTGAACCTTGGGCATACAATGATGCATTTACACTTTTGGCACAACTTTTGCTTCAATTGTAATTCAGCAAGCTTGCTTGCACAACAAGATATTCATAAGGATGCATAAATTGAGTTGGAAGGCTACATCCTGCAAGATTTCGCTGATTTATTTGATATATGTTGTTGATAACTTTGATTGGCACCATTATCAATCTCGTTTAGGAAAATTTTTGTCAACTTTAAATTTCTTCACAGGTGTAAATTAGCAAGCCGAAAACGCTACATGTATGGTCATATATTCCGATTGTGTGTTTCTAATTGCATTATAAGAAGTTTAGTATTTGCAATCTCTAACACTTGATTTCTTTCATTCCGATAACGATGCAGGATGCATGGCAGCCTTGGAAGCAGAACACTACTTGCAAGAGATTGGATCCCAGGAGGGTAAGACTGATTGACTACCTTCGATTGGCGAGGAATCCAAGCGATGTTCAGTTAGAAGCAAAATTTAGTTAAACAGCAAGGATAAAGAAAATTAAGGAAGATTTGCAGTTATTATTCAAGTATTTTATTTGTTTTACATTGTTATTAGATCATGTTCATGGCACGGCATCTGCGACCTAATACTATCGTGTGCTTGTGCTTGCGCGTATGCTTTGTTTGAATGGCTTCAAGATTTAGCAATTTTTCATTACTTGGCACCCAAAATTTTGATTTAACGAGGGTCGAATTGTTTTAAACGATTGAGAAGAAAGAGATCTCTATTTAATTCCCCTTGTTACCAAATTAATAAGCTTCCAGTTCTCTAACGACAGGCGAAAGGCAATTGAGAAAGAATTCGAGCGGAAAAGTAATGATATTGGAAAAAGTTGGGGAAGATAGTTGGCATTTCTTATAGGAAAAGGTTGGCGATGAAAGTGGGGATATTTGGGGTTGGATGTGTCTTAGGGGACCTTTTTTCCTTTGTCGACTTTTTTTCCATAGCAAAATGTTGCTTGCGTTCTTTTTTGTTTTTTTTCACAAGAGAACGATTGAGGTTTAAATAGGTGAGATTTAATTAAATCTCATCTGTTCGCTCATGAAAAATACGCAATAGAATTTCTGACCGCTCATGAAAAATACGCAATAGAATTTCTGACCGGACAAAAATGAAAGTGGGCTTCCATTTGGATTAAAGTTGGAAGCCCAATGTATAAGATGGAGTATAGGCCTAGGGTTTTGCTTACTAACCCCGTTCAGACATGTGCATTCTTGGGTGTCAAGCAAAAGCTTTTATTTGTCAAAATTTTGGTGTTTTTTAACCTTTATAGCAGAAGAAGGCGCAAAAACTAGTGTCAGCCATGGAAGACCGGAAAACCCTAAGAACCAAAATCTGCATCATCGGTAGTGGACTCCATATACGCCATATACGCCGCTAGAGCGAAGCTCAAGCCGATTCTAGCTCTTCGAGGGTTGCATATCCAACAAAATCGCCCCGGGGGCAGGCACCACCACCACCCACTTCGAGAACTTCCCGGTATTCCCTCAAACAATTCTCATGACGAATTCAGTCGGTCCGTTTAGGCACCACTATCATCTCGGAAACGGTCAACAAAGTCGACTTCTCGTCCACCCCTTTCAAGATCTCCACCGACGAAAAGACCACGCGGTCGCCACTGGCGCCGTCGCCAGACGCCTTCACTTCACTGGCTCCGATGAGTACTGGAACCGCGGGATTAATTCGGCCTGCGCGGCGTTCACAGCACCCTCTATCTGGACAAGCCGCTAGCGGTGATCGGAGGTGGTGACTCGACGATGGAGGAGGCGAATCATCTGGCCAAGTACGAATCAGAAGTTTACGTAATTCACCGGAGGAACACTTTTCGGGCTTTGAAGATCACGCAGAATATTGTACGGGAGAATCCGAAAATCCGAGTGGTGTCGATGGGATTTGAAGGTTTCAGGCATGATCCGGCAACGGAATTTTTGGCGGGCAGTTGAAGCTGGATGTGGATGGGTATGTTGTGACGAAGCAGGGGACAACGGAGACCACCGTGAGAGGAGTTTTTGCGGCGGGATATGTTCAGGACAAGAAGTACCGGCAGGCCATCACCGCTGCTGGAACAGGTAAACGCTTCTCTTAATCCTTAAACTTGCTTAATCCATGGTAGTTTGATGAGCTAAATATATATTTGTGTCGCATTTCACTTTTCTTCGTTCAACTACCACGACTTAAAACAACTACTCTGAGAAGCACCAACATGCATTCTACTCTATTTATATCTGTGTCGTGTTCATATCATCCTACTCGCGAATCAATAAGCAAAATGATATAAATCAATAATATCTCAATACCAGCGGTTGAAATTGCTTATGGAAGGGCTCAAAGCCCTTTTTTCTAACCAAAAGTGCATCTAACTATGTTTATAGAAAACCAAAACTTCAGAAAACACTAGCGGTTGTCTATGTTCATGGCATGACATCTACTATCTTTTTGTTTTACAGTCTTATTTAAAATTTTCTTTACTTCAGCGTCGATATTTTTTATTTTTTAATTCTTGGTGAAGGAAAATTTAGGGAGATTGACTACTATCACCACCAACGTCAGGACATATCCACAACCTCAAGTCGAAAAGACTTATGTGTGGCACCAAACTACCAGCTGCCATCGATATGAATTTACGTTGAAATTACAAATTGTTATCAACGAAAACTGCTAGCAATGGGGATCGAACTTAGATTGGAGGTTAATTATAAGCATGCCCTTAGCAACTGAACCAACCCTCGTTGGCCGAAATTTTTTATTTAACCTGATCTGCGAGTAAGAAGTCTAAAGTTATTAGATATCAGTATTGGAGTCGAATATGCATGTATGATGTATCGTGTTATTATTTATCATGCACATTCTTGCTTTCACAATGAGGGTGTGCATATTTCATTTGGTGACCCTTTTCTCGGATTAGAGCCATGGAAAAGGGTTTGAGAAATTCCATGCCTGGAACCTCACTATTTTCACGACACGGCGCTGGCCATTTCAAACTTAAGTTTCGGCGTCTCACATGTGAATGGTAAATTATAATTGACAATTTAACTTACTTGTAACGTTAGAAGTTGTGCATAGTAATAAAAAACGTAACTAGTTGTTCACGTATGAGATAAACAACTCATGTTAATGTTGTACTATGTTGTTCATGTACGGCATATTTGTACTTTAACGTGTGACCAGAGTTACTTTTTGATTCCTTGTATTAGTAAAACATACGTTATTCATGGGATGTGAATGATAACATGATTATGATATTTAACTTCCCATGCATTTACATTTACTAACGCCTAAGGAATACTTTTTATCGTATGACTTCACCCTCTTTTTATATACAACTACAAAAAAAAACCCTTGACAAGTAAGCCGTCTTAGCTCAGCTGTTAGAGCACGTGGCTTTTAACCACATGGTCGTGGGTTCGATTCCCATAGACGGCGTAGTTTTGGTGAACTATTTTCTTCGTCCCCTTCAATTCACCAATTGCCTCTCGTTTTTACTTTGAGAAATGATTTCTGCACTCTTTTTTTTTTTTTTTAATTGGGACGCTTTGATCTCCGTAGGGCAAGCATCACTAGCACAAAGATACAGTTCAAAGGACGTCATATCACAACATGGCATTTTAAACTGGACCTGACCTGACCTGACCCGTTAAACTTAGTATTCGGGTGAGTATTTAACGGATCGGGTTGTTAATGGGTCAACCCGTTAATCACCTGTTAAATAACGGGTCATTTTGTGCGAAACCCGTTAATGAGGGCTTTTGTGTAATTTCAATAGTTAAAATAGGAAGCCCACAAACTCAAAGCCTATCTCTACCACTTCAAGGAGGTCGCCGATATGCTCCAAGACTACATTCCCGGCTCAAAATGGCAACAGACGACTCTTTCTCCTTCTCTGGTGGCTCTGACACTTCGTCTCAGTCGCTTTCTCGAGAGCGAGTCAAGCTTCTCTCCTCCAACAGCGGCAACTCATCCTCTAGCTTGCCGGATCGAGATCCTTCCTTCAAGTGCTTCTCTGTCTTGGACTTGAAGAAGGTCATGGCAGGTCGCTGTCAAATGGCAAAAAGGATGGATAATGGAGGTAACTGTCAAAGTGGATTGTATCTATTGGTTTTGCAATTGGCATTGCGTGTTGGATTTTTGAAAAGGATGAACATAAATGCACCACCAACTATTGTAAATGACATCTAAATGTGAAATCTTGTTTGTACATTAAAATGTGTAATTTGAATTGGAATGCAAAATTAAACCAAAAAAAAAAAAAAATTGTTAATGGGTGTTAACGGGTGAAACAAGTGATCAATGAGCTTAACATGTAGGATTTGGGTGACCCGTTAGCTTAACGGATTGAGTTCGGGTGACTCATTAACTTAATTGACCCGACCCAAACTTAATAAACCTAACCCGTTTACAGGTTTAATCACAATCACACATGCAAATGCCTACTATATTTTTGTCTCTTTCACCAAATGACAAGGCAAACGGTACGCAACATGGAATAATGCAATATTACAGAGACATTGGCAAAGCTCTAACCAATCCAAGGATGCAAAATTCTTAGGGCTGTTTTGGTATTATTGTGCTTTGAAAAAAAAAACTGCTTCATCTGTACTATAAGAATAAGCTCATTTTTGCTGCTTCACGTTTTCAGTTTTTTTTCACCCAAAACAGTAAAAATAAGCTGTTTTTAAGTGTTTACCAAACACCTTTTTTAGCTCAGTTTTTTTTTATACCCACTTTTTATAAAAGAATCTCAGTACCAAACCAGTACTTAGCCCGATACAAATAACAACGTCGTAAATTGTACAAGGCTGAAACAACAATCCCTCGTAAAAACGCGTTTAATTTAATCCTAAAACAATTAAATTAAACTAGAAAAAACAAATTAACAAGAATCATAAATCAAAGATTACGACCAAGCTTAATGTCCTGAAGATACCCATTACACCAGATACTCTATGGAAGCTCTCTTTGTCAGCAACAAGTCGCAGGCAGCAGTATGAAGACAAGAACAAACATCCCAGAGAGCCCAAACTTTCCATTCTGTTTTTTTTTTTGTTTTTATTCCTCCTCACCCATGTGACATCACCAACCCTACCATGTTCTCCTTCCCTCCCCCTCCAACCCCAGCACAATGTCCTCTAGTGAGAGAGAGAGAGAGAGAGAGATTCTCCTTTCCCTCCATTTTCCTTTTTTTTTTTTTTTTTTTATTGGGGCTCTGTTTATGGATTCATGGGGTTTAGGGTTTACTGTATTCTACCCGTGTTTACCGAGGCGAGGTTTGCAACGTCCCTGCTAGATCGGTTGTATTTCATGTGGCTCTGCACTAGCTGCCCAGATGCAATGGCTGACATGAGAGAAAGCTCCCCTGCTAGGACAGCTCCGGCTACAATTCTCGCCAGTTGCCTTGAGTTTAAACCAGGAGAGTCTTTGCTTGCCCCCTTGACACCAAGCAAGTTCAAGCAGGCTGATTGGGATGCGAGTTGTGTTCCTCCTCCAACTGTACCCACCTGAAAAGTTAAAAAACACAAATTGTAGTCAGATCTCTATTCAATTCTTTCCCCGATAGATAAAAAAACCGCAACTTTGCAATGTATGTTTTTCTTTTTTTTAAATAGGAAAGCACACCGATGGTTTCTGCCCCACATTAACCCTTCCAATCTGGAATTTTTAAATCCTATGATGGGGTCATCAAACGAAATCTCTGGAACAGAAGAATTTGGATATGGTTTAACTTCACCTTCCAATATAATTTAATATTTAAAATGAACTGTAAAATTATTATAGTGTTGTGTTAGTACCTCAATGGAAGGCATGGTGACTGAGATGTGAAGGTCACTGCCATCGGCTTCCATCAAGGTAATGCAGTGAGAGCTCTCAATATTCTGAGCAGGGTCCTGGCCGGTGGCTATGAAGACTGCAGAGACAATATTGCTGGCGTGGGCATTAAACCCGCCAAGAGCACCAGCCATGGCAGACCCAACAAGGTTTTTATTCACGTTAAGCTTCACAAGGGAATCCACATCGGTTTTCAGTACCTTCCTCACCACTTCCTCCTCGATGACTGCCTCGCAAGTTACTGATTTCCCTCGCCCTTCAATCCAATTTACGGCTGCTGCTTTCTTGTCTGAGCAGAAGTTTCCTGTGCAACCCGAACAAGCACATAATGACAACCTCACCAAATAATTATAGAAAAGTACATCGCAAATGGATAATCGACATTAAATTATGTAGTAATGAGATAATTATATAATAATCAAAGCATAGCACATAGGGTTTGGAAAATTAATCAAGGAAAATACACTGTCAATAAAATATATAGCAATAATTTATTCTATTGGAATCTAAGTTCAAAAGGGACGATAGACACTACATCATGATTGTAAAGGAATGTTTGCATGCTGGTGTATGTATGCAAAAAGTATTCTCTCACAAACCGTGCATCCCGCAACTGAAATCCATTTGGAAGTAGTACAACTTGCAAATTCATTGTAAAGACGTAAACTGAGTAAAAATTACCAGAGATGCCGACAAGTTCCATGTCCGGGAATTCATTTTGAAGGAATTCGAGAACATATTGAACGCCTTTGGAGATCATGTTCATCCCCATGGCATCTCCAGTGCTGCATGAAAACCTTAGGTACAGATTCCTGCCTGCTATCGCGCTTCGAATCTTTTCGAGCTTTGCAAATCTGCTAGACCTGAACAGGAATGAAGAACCATTTTTATCAGTTATACAATTTATCACTCAACTAAAGAAAAAATGAAAATTGGGTTTAAAAAAACCACAGGACAATTCAAAGCAAACAAACAAAATCCCCCATCAACATCATAAACAAAATTAACATGTATTATGAACTAAATTAATGATTAATTGGTCTTCTTTTGTTCCCCAATTACCCAAAAATTACAATGCAACAATAAAAACCTGTTGAATTGAAAATCTAGGGGTTAACCTGTTGAAAACGACGGCAAGAGCATCAAAATTGAGAGGGTTCTCGACGAAGAACTTGAGCTGAGCAGCCCTAACGACGGAGTGGAACCTCACAATTGGAGCTCTGGTCATAGAGTCGTTGAAGAGGACACTGTCGGCGCCGCCTGAGGCGTAGATTGCCTTGAATCCCCTATTGGTGCTGGCCACCAGGCACCCCTCCGTTGTCGCCATTGGCACCATGTACTCTTCTCCGTCGAGCAACAGCGGTCCGGCGACTCCCACCGGGATCTGCACATACCCCACCGGATTCTCACAGCACTGTCCCAGTATCGACTGATAATCGAAGCCCTCCAGCGGCAGCCCCTGCAGCGAACGACCCGTCGTTTTCTGCAAAGCCTCGCGCCGGATCGCCGCGGCTCGTTTACAGTCCCCGAGCTTCGATTCGAGCTCGTAGGACGCCGTCGTTCCGGACAACACCGACTCGACGATCTCCTCGTCTTCTTTAGAGATTAGCTGCTCATCTTTCTTCTGCTGAGGAGGACGCGGCGGCGGCGATTCGAGAACGACGTCGTGCTCGTGCCAGTCGTCGTGCGGGGTTCGGGGAGCGACGAAGGACTGGACGAAGTCTATACCGAAGAAGCCGAGAAGGTAGATGACGGAGGCGAAGAGGGAGAAGATGGCGGCGATCTCCGAGAGCGTGACTACGTGAAGCGGCGTGGACGTGCGGATCTTCTCGCGCCACCGGTTCAGGAGGAAGTAGGCGACGGTGAAGAAGAGAGTGACGAAGAGGCCATTGGTGAGGTAAAGAGGCAGAGGAAGCGCGTCGGAAGCCTTGGGGTAGGAATTTGGGTCCGCGGCGGAGGCGGTTTGGTTACGGCGGCGGTGGTGGTGGGATTTGGGGAGGGGTCGTCGCCGGCGGAGGTCGTCCATGAAATTTGGGTGCGGTTAGAGAGAAAAGGGGGTACGGTACAGGGAGAGAAATGAAAAATGAAAATAAATAAATAAAATTTTGGGGGGATTATAATTTTTTTAAATTAAATTTTAATTTGGTGCTTGTTTTAGGGGAAACGCGGCGGGCATTGTTCAAACTTAAAGAAATAAGGTAGGCGAAATCAACCATTTACTACTATAGTTTAGAAATATTTTTTTATATTTATAAGTAAAAAGTTTTATGTTTGATTCTCATTAAAAGTGAATTTGATCTACATTATTACCAGCTCATTATAAGATTAAGCTCACCTCCTTCGTTTTGTATAGAAAATATCGTTTATTTAAAAAAAATAAAGAAAGAAAGAATTGAGGGAGACTTTATTTGTTTAATTTTTTAAAAAAATTAAGATAAATTTCAACCGCTCACTACATCTGGCGATTTAAAAGGAAATACTTGGCTCATTTTCTTGAAAATAAGTAATTATATTTCTTATTTACTTGTTAACTATAATTTGACACGTGTATTGAATTTATTGTTTTATATTTGAATGGAATGTTAAAAGCTTATGGTTTGAAGAGTAGAGTGGTACATCTCGTGTGTTACATGAAGATGATTGTGGTTGCGGATCATATGGTTGGCATGAAACACAATGATGGGATATACTGTCATTACACCCTAGTAGTGCTTAACATCTTTTTGTTCGTTATCGAGTTTTAAAGTGTCAACTTGTAACTAAGGAGGACACTAAAGTGGTTGGTTATATGGAAGACAAGTTGAATGAGTGAAAGAATCATTATCATCTCTTTTGAAATCAAATTATGCATGTCCTTAACGCCTATTAATTTCCCCGATTGAAATAAGAAAAACAAAAATTAATGAAAAGGGCTTGAAAACTTTAAGTTTTAACGATAAGAACAAAATAAAGAGTAAAGTGAATAGTACTAGGTTTGACTTTTTAGTGTAAAAATGTAATTTTTCGTTAAAATGAACAGTACCACGAGCTTTTCGTTAAAACTCTTATGAAAAAAAGCTTGAGTAAGTTTGTCTGACCAACTGAATTACCGAAAACTCTCGCAAAGGAACATCAAAGAATAACTTTTAACGTACATGGTCCCTGCCCTTCTCTCAAGTTGCTCTACCGAAGATTTTCTCCAAAAAGTATCCGGATTGTTTCAACCCCACTGAATATTTTTCGTGAAAAAGCGTGAGCAGGCTGAATTCAAAAGTAAAGGTCCAAATTAAGTTGCTGAGTTGGCCCTTGTGTTTCCAGCTCTGAAGTTGGTCCCATCCCACTGTCTTTATATTGGTGGGTCAGTGACCAAGTGGTCCATTCCAGCCTCTGACTGTTCAGGTGGCCCAAAGTCAATTGACCTGGCTCTCCCACTGGGGACCCCAGGCCCGGTACTATCCTAATTAGAGTAGTATTAATTATGCAAAGCTATCTAATATTATAATAAGGACAAATAACAGATAACAACAAGTGAGCCGTCTTAGCTCAGCTGGTAGAGCGCGTGGCTTTTAACCACGTGGTCGTGGGTTCGATTCCCACAGACGGCGTTTTTATCTTCCATGCTGTTTGTGAGGGCAATTCCGTCAAATACTATTGTGGAGTTTATTAAATCAAGAGTGATGAAAGACCCACTATTGTCCTATTTCTACACTCACATTATAATTTCACCCACCATAAAAATTAAAATATTATTTCTCCACCCGCCATTATTTCTAAAATAACCTTTAATGTCTAATTTTTTAAATAATAATATTACTATGATTTTTTTTTTTTTTTTAAAAAAACTTCATGCTTCCTTAATTGCCACTACCCTAGCCGCACTAGAACAGACCTGTCAGTTTATTACACGACCCGTTAACACGACACGTAAACGACACGAAAATAACGGGTTTCGGGTCAACACGATAACTAATCGGGTCATTATCGGGTCACACGATAATAACCCGTTAATAACGGGTCCTTAACAGGTTTACACGAAAGTGACACGCGGGTAACCTGTTTCGACACGATAAGAAAAATGATATTTTGATGATTTTAATTTTTTAAACTACTAAAAAAAAACTTACTATAAAATGCAATAGATATAATGAATATGTATATATTGTTTATTAATTATTATTCTATTATTATTTTATATAAAATTTAAAATTTAAGTTTTATTTATTTATTTATTTTTATAATATATTATAGGCAAAGATTGAGATTAAAAATCATAAAACACATTAAAAATAAAAATATCAAGTAATTTAAAAATACCAAAAACATAAAAAAATTATAATAATTAATTTCCCGCCTAATATTTCAAGAGTTTCATCCATTTCCCACCTAATGTTTGGAAAATTTTGCAATCTATATCCATCCATTTCCCGCCTAATGTTTAACCCAAAGAAAAAAAGTATCCATCTTTTTTTTTTTTTTTTTTATCTCTTATAACGTTTTAACTTGAATAAAAATAAAATACGTAATAAAAAAACATAAATGTAATTTTATTATTAAATATCATCACATACTAATTGAAACATAGTCTAATTAACACTTAAAATATATAAATAATTAATATATTTATTCCAAGTCATCAAAACGATAAGATTCACTAACGCTTAAAGTTTATTTATACTTTCATTAAGTATAACATCAATGCGTATCCCATCAAAATAATGAAAGTATGAATAAACTCGTAAGTGTTAGTGAATTTATCGTTTTGACGGGATAAGTATCCTACAAAACTAATTTCAACAATCCAACCGTCAAACTTGTTTATACATGCTTCGAGATCGCATACTCCAAAAATTGCAAAAAAAAAACATTCAGAGATGAAGTAATGAGACAAAACTTTTCAACGGTTATAAACGAAAAATCACGATTTAACGGTTATTTTAACTCCGATTTTGATGACTTTTTACAGCTACACTCCTTGACCTTATATGAATACAATGAATGAATTCGATCTTCAATTTAAAATATTTACACTAGTTTATACCACAAATCTTATGTTATACTTAATGAAAGTATAAATAAACTCTTAAGTTTTAGTTAATGTATCGTCTTGATGGGATACGCATCCTATGAAACTAATTTCAATGATCCAACCATCAAATTTGTTTATACATGATTCGAGATCACATACACCAAAAATTGCAAAAAAAAAACATTCAGAGATCAAGTAATGAGACAAAACTTTTCGACGGTTATAAACGAAAAATCACGATTTAACGGTTATTATAACTCCGATTTTGATGATATTTTACAGGTACACTCCTTGACCTTATATAAATACAATGAATGAATTCGATCTTCAATTTAAAATATTTACACTAGTGGATACCACAAAATCTCATGTTATACTTGATGAAAGTATAAATAAACTCTTAAGTGTTAGTGAATCTATTGTTTTGATGGGATACACATCTTAGAAACTAATTTCAACGATCCAACCGTCAAACTTGTTTATATATGCTTCAAGATCGCATACGCCAAAAATTGCAAAAAACAAACATTCAGAGATCAAGTAATAAGACAAAACTTTTCGACGGTTATAAACAAAAAATCACGATTTAACGGTTATTTTAACTCCGATTTTGATGATTTTTTACAACTATACTCCTTGAACCTAAACAAATACAATGAATGGATTCGATCTTCAATTTAAAATATTTACACTAGTGGATACCACAAAATCTTATGTTATACTTGATGAAAGTATAAATAAACTCTTAAGTGTTAGTGAATCTGTCGTTTTGATAGGATACGCATCCTACGAAACTAATTTCAACGATCCAACCGTCAAACTTGTTTATATATGTTTCGAGATCGCATACGCCAAAAATTGCAAAAAAAAAAACAAACATTCAGAGATCAAGTAATGAGACAAAACTTTTCGACGGTTATAAATGAAAAATTACGATTTAACGGTTATTTTAACTCCGATTTTGATGATTTTTTACAGCTACACTCATTGACCCTATATGAATACAATGAATGAATTCGATCTTCAATTTAAAATATTTACACTAGTGGATACCATAAAATCTAATGTTATACTTGATGAAAGTATAAATAAGTGTAGATTTTTAAAAATCTCATGAACAATGTTATTTATTTGAGTGAAAAATTAATAATAATAAGTGTGAAAAATGTAATCATACGTAATGAAAAACTTTACAACGTTCATTAAGGGGTCAACTCCGAAATTTAGTATGTATATACTAATTTAGTATTATGTTTTACATTTTTTTGGGTCAAATTATGTTTTTCTTTTCATTTTTATTGATTTAAAATATAATTTTCTTAACGGGTAACGGGTCGGGTCATATTACCTGATAATATTAACGGGTTGATTTCGGGTCGGGTCATATTACCTGTTTACTTTAACAGGTATTACACGACACAACCCGTTAAGCTATCGGGTATGACACGAAAACGACACGAACACGAGAAACACGACACGAATGCCAGGTGGGAGTCCCACCCCCATCAAAAACCAAAACGTTTGACACCTGCTTGGCGGCATCTCCTTTGGAAAGAGAGAGAAACCAAAGGGAAAGGAAGAGCGAAGCACTTGGGGAGTTTTCCAATACAAAGGTAGATTGCTCCAAATCGATTTATTCCAACTAGAATTGGGTATTCTTTGATTATCTGGGTTGTCGTCGTTGTTCGTTTATGAGGAAAAGGAGGAGAGGATGTGGGTGGTAGTATCAGAATTGAAAGGGAGAGTGGGGTGGTGTTTGTCGCTGGAGAGGGTAAATTGGGGATTTGATAGCCGTCGGTCCATCGTGGATGATTTGAGAGGATGATGGATTTATTTTTACTTTTTCTTAGTTTTATTTTTTCTTTATTCTCTTTTAGTTTATTTAATTAAAGTTATAACAAATTTATAAATGTGAATTTAAAAGTCTTTTGCTAAAAGGATAATTATGTGATTAACATTTTGATTAAAAGGTGGGTGAGAAAATAAGACAATGGGGTGGTTTTAGTAGCACTCTAAATCAATTTATGCAGAATTTAACTTAATTAACTAAATTGATCAATAATTTCAAATGGACAAAAAATTTGTACATGTAGCGAA